CACCAACGGCGATGCGGCAATAGCGGGAGTGCAGACTCTAAATTGACATGTCACTGAAATCTGTGTATGTGCAGATATAATGAACTCTGATCTCATAACCTGTACAAGTGCATTCTTCTTAACGTGACATTCATGAGTACTGCCAGTTGTTTCGGCAACTGGCATAATAAATATGTCCTAGCCAAATGCCTCGTCATCTAATTAGTGACGCGCATGAATGGATTAACGATATTCCTACTGGCCTTGACCGGTGGGCTAACTGGCTGGAAGTGGGCAGAGTGGATCGTGGGCAGGTCCAGTTATGCCTGTCCCTTGGTTTGCGCTGGCTGTTGTCCTCGTTGCTGCTTGTTGTTCTTGTAGCAGCGGTGGTAGCGATGGCGGCAGTTGTGTAGCCTTGGGGCACTTGTCTGACGTCAAACGGCCAACTCAGAACTGGCACGGACTCGGGGAATCCGACTGTCTAATTAAAACAAAGCATTGCGATGTCTGCTGATCGGTTTTGACGCAATGTGATTTCTGCCCAGTGCTCTGAATGTCAAAGTGAAGAAATTCAACCATGCGCGGGTAAACGGCCGGAGTAACTATGACTCCTGGGGCCTTGCACCGTCTTGGTCCCGAAGGGTTAGAGTCTTGGCCCCACTTATTGGGTCAGGGGTGCTGCCCTGGAGCATAGTTGGTACGCCTTGCCTTGTCGTGGCACTCCCCTTGACGGGTAGGGTCCACTCGTGGGCCCGATGGCTCAGCCGTACCCGGACTAATTGGCGGCCCCACTGGTCTTGCCGGTGGTTAAACTAGCAATTCCTACCAATGATGTCCTCTAATGAAGTGTCACCCCCCGCCTCCGCGGGGGTTTCTGCGACGTCTGGTCTTATTTGTGTGCATTGTGGCCGCGCTTATCGATCTGCTGCTGGGCTGAAGTGTCACTTGCGTCGATGTCAGCCGGAGAGTGTGTTGTCCCCTTCTGTGTCTGTGCCTGCCGAACCTTCTCCGAGGAATTTTGTGTGTGATCACTGTGGCCGTGGATTTTCTTCTCAGCGTGGACGCTCACTTCATGTAAAGAGTGCTCACCCTGCTGCCTACTTCGCTGAGCGTAGCCGGTTGGCTCCCTCTCGCACGACTTGGACGACTCAGGAGGATGCTCTTTTCCGTCGCTGTGCTTCTGCTGTGCTACAGGCGAGTGGTCCACTTGCCCTGCGTGCCCTTGCTCGCGAGGTGGGGATTCAGTTCCCCACGCGCAGTGTGGAGGCTGTATTCAAGCGACTGTCTAAGTTGGATAAGGACGAGCCGCTGTTCACTCCTCCAGTGTCTTTGTCTGCTGTCGGTCCTTCTTCTTCCTCTCCCTCTCCTGCTCCCCCTGCTGTGTGTGAACCGGACCAGGTAGAGTTCTATCGGACCTCGCTCCTGCATTCGGCTGTCAAGCTTTTGACAGATTCACCATGTCAGGCCTTGGCTTCTGGTGACTTGTTGTCAGTTGCCTCGGATCTGCTCATGGGAGAGGCCCAACTGAGTGATTCTGCTGCCCGTTTGGATGCTCATGCGGCTGTGGTTTTTCCTCGTCGCTGGCGTCCAGGAGTAAACCGGAGACCCACGGTAGTTGCGCGCCCCACCGCCAGCCATAAACTAAGACGGGCTCAGTATGCGGAGGTGCAAGCTCGGCTTGCCAAAAACGCGAAGGCGGGAGCCCAATTCATCCTTTCGGGTAATTGGCGCAACGCTCCCTGTCCCGAAGCACCGCTGCCACCTGGTACATTAGAGTTTTGGCGGGAGCTCACTGAGCGTCCCAGTGAGCCGGATCAGCGGCCTATACAACCTCCAACTGCTGTTGCTTGGGAGATCCTTGAGCCAATTACGGCGACTGATGTGACTGGCAACCTACGGCTAATGCAAGGTTCTGCTGCAGGTATTGATGGTTTGTCTGCAAAGGATCTGCTAAAGTGGTCACCGTCTGCCATTGCTGGGTATCTGAACATCATCCTTGCTATTGGCCACCTCCCTGCGCAGCATTGTACTTGTCGAACGACCCTGGTTCCTAAAGTCTCTACTCCTACTCTTCCTTCGGAGTACCGTCCTATAGCGGTATCCAATATTATCCCCCGCTTGCTAACTCGCATTCTTGCTCATAGGTGGTCTCGCCTCTGCCCCACCGCCCGTTTCCAGTTTGGTTTCCAGGAAAGGGATGGGACGGCAGAGGCGACTTCGCTGCTTCACGGAATGTTACGGTATGCGGTCTCAGCTCCTAGATCAATTGCCGTGGCTGTGTTGGATGTTGCAAAAGCCTTCGATTCCGTGAATCACGGTACGCTCTTGCGAGCTGCCGAGGCGAATGGAGCGCCACCTCTCCTCACTACTCTGCTTGCCTCCACCTACTCTCGTGCTACTACCTATATTCTAGACGCCGAGGTTAGATGCCAGCGTGGTGTCCGCCAAGGCGACCCCCTCTCTCCTCTTCTCTTTAACTGTGCTCTTTCTGAAGCCCTCTCTTATTCTGACCGGCAGTTGGGCTTTGATCTGGCTGGGGTGACGGTGGATTCGATTGCGTATGCGGATGATCTTGTCCTTTTCGCTGAATCACCTCACCGCTTGCAGCAAAGACTGGATGGTCTGGCCAATGGCCTTTCCCTTGCTGGTATGGTCCTCAACTCAGCCAAATGTCTTTCCTTCTACGTTCAGGCGCTTGGAAAGGAGAAGAGTGCGTGCCTCTGCCCGTGCGACGTGTCAATCGGGGGGAGTGTCTTGCGCTCGCTAGGGCCGACGGACACCTTCAAGTACTTGGGGGTGCCCTTCTCATACCGCGGGAAGGTGACGGTAGGCCACCGTTCAGCTTTGTCTGGCATGTTGGAAGAGCTTACAAGGGCACCACTGAAACCGCAACAGCGCATCACCCTTCTGAAGCGGCACTGTGTACCGAAGCTGCTGCATAAACTGGTCCTCGGGGCAGTCCATCGAAACACCCTGAAGCGGCTAGATGTCCAAGTGAGGCAAAGTGTCCGCCGTTGGTTGAAGCTCCCTGCCGATACGCCGACTTCTTTTCTTCATGCGCCGATTGTTGATGGAGGCCTTGGTATTCCCTGCCTGTCTGTTCTCGTTCCCTTTGCAAAACGCCGACGCCTGGACTCTGTACTCAGCTCTGCTGAACCCGTTGTACGAGCAGCTGCCACGATGCCATCTGCAATTTCTGGCCTGAGGTTAGCGGCCCAACCAGTGCGTATGGGCCATACGGTCCTGGCCAGCAAGGACGATGCGAGGAACTATTGGAGGAATGAGTTGTATAACTCTGCTGATGGCCGTCCGCTCGCCCAGTTTGCTAAGTCCGCCTGCGCCAGTCACTGGCTCTCCTCCCCTGCTAGGGTATTCCCGTGGCTCTACCTTCGAGGCATCCAACTCCGAGCGGGTGTTCTCTCCACGAAATCCCGCAGGTCCCGTGGGGCAGGCATTACGGACGTTTTGTGTCGGGGGCAGTGTGGCCAAAGAGAGACCCTCTTTCACATCCTCCAATGTTGTCAGGTGACTCACCGGGCCCGAGTCTGGAGGCATAATTTGGCTATGAAACTGTTGGCTTCTAAGCTCATTGCTCGTGGACATGAAGTCCTGGTTGAACCCCATATTCCTGAGGGTCAGACCTTCAAAAAGCCTGATATTGTGGTGTGTGCTGATGATAGACTCACGGTGGTGGATGTAGCTGTCGCCGACGAAGATCTGATGGATACTGTTTACGCTGGAAAAACCCGCCACTACTCTACGGTGGAAGTTGAGGGGAATCTTCGGAGGATCCTCGGGAAACCAGCGGATTTTCCGGTGTCACACGCACCGGCCATTTTCTCGTCACGCGGCGCCCTCTCCCCACGCAGCGAGGCTAGTCTGAAGCTTCTTGGTCTGTCCAAATTCGATCTCTCTGACCTATGTTTGGCGGTGATCAGGGGTTCCTTGAAAGCCTATGACGTCTACGTACGTGGTGCTGGCAACGGTGAAAACCAGTGAGGTTGCAGTGTGGACCCCCGGTCGTTGTATGACGCAGGGTTACTAAACCGACTAGCAGCACCCCAGTTTAGCTGGCCCTGAGTGGTTCAGCGGCTGAGGACCGTTTGTCTGAGGAGGTACCTTGCTGATGTGCACCGGTGGAGATTGCTGGATGTTGCCCTTCTCCTTCCCCCTGGGATTACGGACTGTTGTTCTGTATCAGCCCCCATGACTGCAAACTGGAATGTGTCCTTACTGTTGTTGCAAATGCTTGCTTACCCTGGGGCATGCTCTGCCCAAATTGTACTTTCAGTTCGGGTATAATAAATATTATCTAGCCAAATGCCTCGTCATCTAATTAGTGACGCGCATGAATGGATTAACGAGATTCCTACTGTCCCTATCTACTATCTAGCGAAACCAAAGCCAAGGGAACGGGCTTGGCAGAATCAGCGGGGAAAGAAGACCCTGTTGAGCTTGACTCTAGTCCGACTCTGTGAAGAGACATGGCGGGTGTAGTAATAAGTGGGAGACGGGGGCTCCTTGTGGGCATCTCGTACGACAAT